CTGGGGCCCAGGCCTGGCCACTAGGAGTCTTTACAGCTCCCCTGGCGATTCCGGGCGCAGCCAGGGTCGGGAAGGCGTGTAGAAGAGTGACCAATGCCAGTTGTAATGCAGCTGGGCCCCTTGCCTGCCCTCCCTCGGGGGCAGTGGCTGGAGTCTGGGCCCGGTGCTCTCCAGCTGGCCCACCCTTCCCTCTGTTGCATCCAAGAACCCCACCAACCTTTCCCTGCTGGAGTTTTCTGGTCCCCACAATTGTGGAGGTCATCGCTTCAGCTCCATACACTCTGCAGCTTGTATTGCAGCCTGTGAGGGAAGCTGGAAAGGCCTGGACCAGCGAGACCCTTTCCCCAGCTTTGCTGGAACAGTTTTCTGTTACTATAGGGGGTGAGGAGGCTCCTTGCTGAAAACTTGGCCCTCAAGGATTTTCACTCTGGATCCTTTCTGCGGATGTCCTAAGATGCTCACAGACTAGCTTCCTTCAGAGGACCAAGGTCACTAGCAACGTGCCTGTGTCAGGACCACTATGTGTGGGAGTGCCCTGTGGCTGTCACCGCAGTTGGCAGCAGAGGGCTCTGTCCCTCAGCATAGATGCTTTTATTGCTTCTTTCTTCTGCTGTCTTATCTTCTCCTATACCTGGTTATATTTCACTTCGTTCTCGATATTCTACTTAAACATTATTTGTAGAAATAACTTGACGTTGTCTTTATAGGAATGAATTTTTGTTTGCTTATGCCAGGCACTTGCGAGTGCTAAATCCCCGGATGATTTGAGACTGAGCTGCAGTCCATGTGGTTAACTGTTGGTTAATTCTGGATCATTCTTTCTCCCAAGCGATGATTCTTTGTAGTCGTTGTCCAAGGCAGGGGGTGGTTTTCCAGTTCCCCTCCTTTGGTGGGTCCCAGATTCTGACTTTTGTCCCTCAGACCCACAAAGCCACCAGAAGTGCAGCCCAGCCTTTTCCCGATTTGTCTGGATCAGTAAATGCCCTAGAGCAAAAGCGGTCTTCTCTAGGTTTTTTTCATACCTCTCTAGGTTTCTGGTCTTTCTCAGCTCTTAGATCGGTAATCGCGCGTTGTTTCGTTAACTTTTTGATGTTCTTGAGACTATTTTTATAACATTTCATCCAGTTTTTTAGTCTCTTTCACGGGAACAGCTCCTCTGCATTACTCAGTCCACCATTACAGGAAGCAGAACTCCAGGTTCCCATGGCTGCACTGGGTATTGATAGAAATACCAGCTCTGTCCGTAGCCTCTGTGGTTCAGCTCGCACCTGAGAACACGTAGATGGCACTACCAGCGTCTCCTCCACTTCTCCCATTGCTCTGAGGTCTGCTTGCCTGTCGGGCACTGTGTTGTGCCCTATTCAGGTTGATACGGCTCAGGCAGACCAGGAGAAGAAAAACCAGCCTTAGGAGTGACAGTAGTGAGAAAACATTTCCGCCTTCCATTCTGTGTCCCTCCATGGAGAGGAGGGGTCAAGCGAATGAGTGGAGAGGACTGAATAGAAATGAAACTATGGGGGTTGTCGAGCATCTGGTGGGTGTTCAGTTACATCCCAGGAACAGACGTTGTGCTGGAAGGAAACCCAAAAGGGTGAGTGGTCTGTCTGGGTCCAATATGAAGAGAAAAACCACACAGTAATTTGCACAGAGGAAGTTTAATATAAAGAAGCATTAAGTATAATAGACGATTGGAGTAATGATGATTGGCTAGTAAGAAATAAAGAAAACTCTAAAGAACATAGGAATAACAGCTATAAGGAACAGCTATTACCTCTAGGGCTGAGATAGTGCACCCAAGAAGGCACAACTACGACCCACTTAATGAGATAAGTCGCTGTGGTGCTGCACTGGTGGAACTTGCTGGAAATCCACTCGCTGGAACTTGCTGGAAATATGCCCTGTAGGGTGTGTGTGTGTGGTGGGGGGAGCTTCATTCTTCAGCAGCCTGCCTAGAGAGCAAATGGGAACTAGGAAGCAAAACTCTTTCCTTCTGCAATCTCTCTCCAGCACCTACTACTGAAGAAAGCTTAAATTGTGCTACTGGCAAAGGAAAAAATATTGAAAGGGCCCATATCTATTTTCCCAGAGCAGGCAAAAGGAATGAACTTGAAGCTGAGAGGCAGTACATCGATAACCAGCATAGTGCATCCATTCTACTACTCAGCTTCCCTACACACCCTCCTGCACACATTTACACTCCCACACAACAGCGAAACAACTCGGCATTTCTCCCTATTAAGGTGCACCTTTCCTTCTTACAAGTGAAGAAACTTGCACCCTTCCTCCCAAATGAGGAGATGCACAGCGCCGAGAGTCACTGTATAACTGACACACTGCAACGGAACCAAAATTCCAGGCACTGTGCTGGCTGCTTTATATCTTATAACATTTAATTCTTAGAACCTTGTGAGGGAAATGCTATTTAAATGTAAATAAGACGTGGTGCTCTCTGGGAACTTAGAAGGAGACAGGCATGTTGACAAGGATTTCTAATATTAGGCAAAGTGATTTAAGTTCGAAAAGGCAGTGAAGGTAACCTGTTGTGGAATCCTAGAGAGGGAGCTACTCATTCTCACCAGGGGGGCTGTAGGAAAGTGTCTTGGTACAGGTATTATTAGAACAGATGTCATCCTGGAAAAGGCTTTGAAAGATGTGAAAAACTTCCAGAAGCAATTGAGCAGGAGGTAGAATGACATAGGGAATGTGAACGTGTGCTATGGGGGGAGGTGATACGTGTGTTCAAAGCACAACTCTGCCACTAGCCTTGTGGCTTTGAGCAAGTTAGTTAAACTCTGTAAGCCTCAGGGGCCGGCCCCGTGGCTTAGCGGTTAAGTGCGTGCGCTCCGCTACTGGCGGCCCGGGTTCGGATCCTGGGTGCGCACCGACGCACCGCTTCTCTAGCCATGCTGAGGCCGCGTCCCACATACAGCAACTAGAAGGATGTGCAACTATGACATACAACTATCTACTGGGGCTTTGGGGGAAAAAAGGAGGAGGATTGGCAATAGATGTTAGCTCAGGGTCAGTCTTCCTCAGCAAAAAGAGGAGGATTGGCACGGATGTTAGCTCAGGGCTGATCTTCCTCACAGCAAAAAAAAAACAAAAAACAAAAAAACAACTCTGTAAGCCTCAGTTTTCTCATCTTTAAAATGGGACAATAATACCGACTTCTTATAGTGTTGAGGACCACATAAGGTCAGACATCTTAAGTGGCTGGCTTGTGGTGAGCACTCAGTAAAGGTAAATAGTAGCTATTAATACATTATGGAGGAATGAAGCACATGGCTGTTTGGAAAATGGCAGAGAGCAGTGCAGCTGAAGGGCAGGGTGGCGTGGATTTAGTGGGCCTTATTAGGGGCACATTTTAAAAGTTGGATTATTTTCGGATTTGTTCCCAAGCCAGCATTGGACGTGAATAGGCAACCCGGAAAACGTTAAAAGTCTGAACGCAAATCTCTTACATTGTACACTTTTGCTATAAGTGTTAATGTGTGAAGAGCATTTTGGGAAGGGCGGAATTACACTGGTGGCTTCGGGATCATGATTTTTTTTTTTAAAAAGGACACTTAAAAATATATACATTCAGATAGAAAGCGGGGGAGCAAGACGCCAGACTTGGTGTCGTCCCTGACCCCTCCCCTCAGTGGCGCTCTCCCTGCCCCCTCCCCTCAGTGGCGCTCTCCCTGCCCCCTCCGCTCAGTGGCGCTCACACACCGGACGCTACTGCGCAGCTGCAGAAAACTCTCTCAGGCTGGGAGTTTTGCCCCGCCTCCATTTGGCGCCTCATTCTACCACAGTCGCCTCGTGTGCACCGTCGCGGTCGAGCCGCGGCAGACGCCGAGCCTGAGACTCTCAGAGCTGAGCTCCCTGCTTCACGATGTCTGAGGAGCAGGGTAAGGGTCCCTCCCCAGAGCTGTCCCACTAGCCTCTGCCTCTTTCCTCATCCGGTCTGGGGAAAGGCTCTAACAGTGTTGGCACAGCGCCCGCCTCGAGGGCTGCACAGGCGACTGCGGGATTGGCTGGTCATCCGCCAAGGCGTGCCGGGGAGCGGCCTCTGGGTTGCTGTCCCCAAATGGTCGGTGTGCGTGTGGGAACCTGGGTGATGCGGGCCAGGTCTGGCCCCAGATCCGGGGCGTCCCCAGGGCTCGAGGCCTCCGAGGAGCTTGCGGCGTCCCTGGGGTTCGTGGTGTCCCAGGGGCTTGAGGTGATCCTGGGGCTCGTGGCGCCCCAGGGGCTTGAGGTGATCGTGGGGCTCGTGGCGTCCCCTGGGTTCATGGCGCCCCAGGGGCTTGAGGTGATTTTTGGGCTCGTGGCGTCCCCTGGGTTCATGGCGTGGCCAGGGGCTTGAGGTGATCCTGGGCCTGGCGGCATCCCGGGGGCTTGAGGTAATCGTGGGGCTCGTGGCGTCCCCTGGGTTCATGGCGTCCCAGGGGCTTGAGGTGATCCTGCAGCTGGTGGCGCCCCAGGGGCGTGAGGTGATCGTGGGGCTTGTGGCGCCCCCTGGGTTCATGGCGCCCCCTGGGTTCATGGCGCCCCAGGGCCTTGAGGTGATCTTTGGGCTCGTGCCGTCCCCTGGGTTCATGGCGTCCCAGGGGCTTGAGGTAATTGTGGGGCTCGTGGCGTCCGCGGGGTTCATGGCGCCCCAGGGGCTTGAGGTGATTCTGGGGCTCACAGCGTCCCCAGGGTTCATGGTGTCCTAGCGGGGCTTGAGGTGATCCTGGGGCTAGCGATGTCCCTGGGGTTCATGGTGTCCCAGGGACTTGAGGTGATCCTAGTGCTGGCGGCTTCCCCTGGATTTATGGTGTCCCAGGGGCTTGAGGTGACCCTGGGGCTGGCAGCGTTCCTGGGGTTCATGGCGTCTCAGGGGCTCGAGGTGACCCTAGGGCTGGCCGCATTCTCATAGGCTCGAGGTGACAGTGGTGCTCGTGGCGCCAGCACGTGGAGAGGCTTCCGGCTTGAGGGCTGCGGTTCTTTCCGGATCCTCTAGGGGCCATAAAACAATGTCGGTTGCCGCCGCCACCGCTGCCTCTCCGGAGGCTGGGCCACGGCGATCTGTTTCCCCGTGCCCTCCACGGGGTGGCGTGGCAGCCTCGGGCGCTAGAGCAGGTCTGTACAGCCGCGCTTTTTTCTTTGAATTTTTTTTCAAGATCTCGTGTGCGCGCGCCACCAGCTGCCGTTGAGCATGGCCGGTTAGGGCAGGAGAGCGATGTCGTTTGGCAGCGGGGGCGCTCCTGGGAGGAGATTTGCTTTGCTGGAAGAGTGAGTCTGCACTTTGCAGCCTCAAATTTCAGCAGCGCTGCGGTGGGGTGGTTTGGGGGTGGTTCCCAACTGCTCTCTCGGGATGCCAGCGTGTGAGCCGTTGAGATCTGGCCGCTTCATAAGTGCTTGGTGCGGACTTGCTGGGATGAGTTGATCCTTTCTCCTTTCCCCTTCCCTGTGCGAGGAGGTAGGGGGCCAGGAAGGCGCAAGACTCTCAGACTTTATGTAGAATTTGAGTTTAAAGGATTGAACAAAGTGGCTAGTCAATTCGTTATAACGTCTTTTGAGATTGAGACGTTGATTTTGAGGCTTTGATGGTAACCGCGTTTGATCAAAGACACATCGTGCAGCCTCGCTGTTTTATTGTAAATACGTAAACGAGGAGAAAGATGTAGGTGTGGAGAAGTCCCCACGTATAGAACCTGTTCTTTGCTTCAAGAGGGCAGATGCAGGAGTCAGAGAATACTGCAAAATGTGAGGAGACCTGGAGAGCAGAGCCCTTCCGTGCGTGCTCCAGGGCCTATCCCGCCTGCGGTACGGTTGAGCTCGGGTGTCGTATAGAAAAGGCTTTAACTTAGTCTGTTAGGTATCGCTTCCTTCCCTCCTCTACCCGGCTCTCCCTGAATTCGGACTACTCTAAGGCTTTATAACCTGAAGTCGTAAACTGGTTTAATGTTTACAAATAGTGATTTTACAAGCAGGTTTTCTGCATAGTGTTTTATAAAGCAGGGCACGGGCTCGATTCAGTTTCAAGCCTGCCTGCAGCAAGTGCTGGGGGGTGGGATACAGTTATGGCCGCATTATCCCCCATCTGGCCGACTTTGTAGTTTCTAAAGTTTTTTTTTTTTTTGCTGAGGAAGATTCACCCTGAGCTAACATCTGTTGCCAATCTTCCTCTTTTATTTTTATTTTTATGTTAGCCACCTCCACAGCATGGCCACTGACAGACCAGTGGTGTGTAGGTCCCGCCCAGAACTGAGCCTGGGCCTCGGAAGAGGAGCACTGAACTTAACCACTAGGCCACTGGGGCTGGCCTTCTAAAGTTTAATATGGACAATGGAAGGGCTGCTTTTGAGAGTCTTGACAGGAGATTTAGAAAGTGATTGTTCGGTGTATTGATGCACAGTTTTGCTAAAAAATCAGAGTGGCCTGGCCATTGTAATCTGCCTTGTTTTGCTATGTATTCCTTGCAGTGGTCATGATGTGAAACGCAGGTTGCAGCCCTCACCGTTGTGAACTATGCCTTATCTGAAAAGTTCATGGCAACTTAATTCCTTGCTCCTTGGGAGCATAAACTTCAAAAAACTTCTAAATGTTATAACGTCTTTTAAAAATTGCTTATGAAGGTTGTGTATATACCTAAAGGAATTAATTGGAATTTTGCAAATTTACTGAGAAACTTAGCGGAGTTGTCAATAGCTTTACTAGTGGTACTTTGAAAAATCTGTTGATATACAAGAGCTTGTCTTAAAAATAAAATTTCTATTACCTTTGTTATTTTCTTCTGGTTGTAAACTCCAAAGTTTATTGTAGAGAACCATAACAAATACAGAGAAGTCTAATGGTAATTTTGCCATCCAGGTAATTTTGCCAGAGATAGTGACTTGGAGATAACTATTGGTATGTTTCCTTCCACTCTCAAAGTTAGGATTATACTGTATTTTTCTGCTTTGAATCTTTTTTGTCTCTTTAACATTATTTCACAAGCATTTCTAATATCACTATCTTCTTTGAGAATATGCTTCTCATTGGCTATATACCATTCCATTATCTGGAAATACCATAATTTATGTAACTAAATCCCTTTTCTTTGGATAATTAGGTAATTTCTAATGTTCTATTTTTTTCCATAAAGACTATTAAGTAGAGTCCACAGTGCCTCTCCAAACCCAGCCCCACATTTTATGGATGACAAAACAGAGGCAAACAAGTGGATGTATTTGGCCCAAAGGTCATACCTCTGGATGGCTACAGAGCCTGAAATGGAACCTACATCATGTGATTCCTAATTTAGTACCATTTTTACGTCACCACACCCCCTCACACTAGCTAATGACTTTATTCTAATGCTTTGGTCTATTTTAAATAAATGTAGTAAGAAAGCCCATTTATATATCATACATTTTGCATAACGTGCTATTTTTCATACTCATTAGAATGGCTTACCGAGTTGATATTTCACATCTAGTTTATTAATTGATATTCCACATCTAGTTTATTTGTGGCCACCTATTTCACATTTTGTGAGATTAAACTTGAATTTAATTTGTTTCATAACAACATTTATTTTGTACTTTATTTCTGCATTTATTATCATAAAGGTTAATATTAATTTTTAGAGAACAAGTTTGGAAATTCATAGTCACCACAAAATATGGCTATGTAACATCAGTTGTATTATTTAAAAGTTAAAGACATGTCATCGAACACATAGTAGCATGGACCAGGTGGTCATGTTTCTTAAATGAGAAGAAATTTATTGCTTTATAGAATTGGAAGTACTAGAAATAATACTATGTGTGTGTGTATACATACATACAAACACACATATATACCTCAAATCTTCATACTAAGCAATTGATTTCTTAGTTAACTTGCAATGATTAGAGATATGAAAATATTTAATGCAATTTTTTTCAGCTAAAATATGTTTTTCAAACATTCCATAACTTTATAAAGTAGTTTCTTCTAGAAACTATTTAATGTGGTGTCTAATCTAAACTTTGCTTATTCTTAGATAATATTATGAAAACTGTTGGAGATGACAGTGATGGCAATGATGACTATATTAAGGTTGTGGTAATAGATTCTGACACAGAGTTTACTGAGAATGGATCTTCCGCGGATGGCATGTTGACTATACAACCAAATTTTCAAGGCAGCCATGGTAACTATCAGCAACCATACCAAATGTCATATGATAATTTTCTTAAATTTCCTCCTGTGTGAAATTTTGCTCCCTGGTCCCCATTTCCAGTAAATTGCTTAAATATTCCTATAACTTTTACATTAATTAATTATTATCAGAGGGCCAAGCTTCATGGTAATATCACAATGTTTTCTTGTGCTTGCATTTTCCCTTCATTTAAGCTTTGTCATGTCTCCTTTTTCATTTTCGCTCTATGGGGGGTGGGGAGGTAGCCTCAGAAGGCATTGGGGAGAGTATTATTCTCTGTCTCTGAAAAATTTTTTATACCTGGCAACTATAATTATAACAATTTGGTGGCAAAGCAAAAACTGAACTTATGGGAAAAACGGCTTGGGTCAAGAGTCTATGGAACAGATGACATGATTGTCTGTATAGAAGATCTCAAAGAATCAACAAAAAACTCTTGGAACTAATAAGCGATTATAGCAAGAATGTAGAATACAAAGTTAATATGCAAAAGTCAATCCCTTTCCTATATATCAGCAATAAACAATTGGAACTTGAAATTAAAAACACAGCACCCAAAAAGAGTCCATGGAAAGTGGGTCCTGTAACCAGAACTGCTGTAGCTACTTGTCCTTCCACTGGTTGTCTCTGGATCACAATAATGAAGGAAATGTGAGGCCATTCACCTCCTCACTTATACACAGAGCCAAGAGACATTAACCCTTTGGAACATTTTGTCAGTAGCTATATGACAATTTGTTCTTTGCCCTTTGCTTAGAGAATAAGGCTTCCTACTCTTTAAAACATTGAAACGTTATCGCTTAGATTGGAGGTTGGCATACTTTTTCTGTAAAGGGTCAGATAGTAAATATTTTAGGCTTTGCAGCTGTAGGTTATCTATATTCATAAAGGATAGTGGTCTGTAATTTTCTTTTCTTGTAATGTCATTGTCTGGCTTTGGTATCAGGGTAATTCTGGCCTCATAGAATGAGTTACGAAGTGTTCCCTCTTCAGTTTTTTGGAAGAGTGTGAGGAGGACTGGCATTAATTCTTCTTTAAAATTTTGGTAGAATTCACCAGTGAAGCCCTCTGGTCTAGGCCTTTTCTTTTCTGGGGGGTTTGTGATGACTGATTCAATCTCTTTACTTGTTATAGGTCTGTTGAGATTTTCTATTTTTTTCTTGAGTCAGTTTAGATAATTAATTTTTTAAATTATAAGAACAAATTGTTTTCTCATAGACCAGCATCGAGCAATTAGGAAATATATAGGCAAAAACCCCAATTGATAATGGCTACAAATAAATATTAAAAATTCTAAGAAATAAATGAATAAAAAATAATAGAACCTAAATGAAAGGAAAGCAAATACTTTACTGAGGGTCATAAAATAAGGCTTGAGTAAGTGGAGAGACACAAATTGTTTCTGGATGAGAAAAAACACACTAGTATACCTTAAAAAAAAAAAAAGCCTTGGGAAAACCTGTTTAAAGAGACAGGTGGTCATTTACCATAGCAAGCACTAAAACATTTTAAAAGTACAATTATTGAAATATTATGGTACTAATTATATAATAAGGAGCCAGATTTAATGCAATAGGAAGCTCATAAATAGAACATAGAATTTAGAGTTAATATGCTATAGTATATTAATATGAGAAACATCGATAGTAAATCATGCTGGTACAAATGCTTAGCTATTGGGGGAAAAAGCCCAATGGATTTCACCTCACATCGCACACTTAAACAGTTTCGAGATGGATTAAAGAGTTGAATATCTAATAAACGGAAGTATGGAAAACTAGAAGAAAATATGATTGAACGTTTTTCTAATCCTACTGAAAGATTGAGCATAGAAGCAGCACAAGAAATCACAAAAATACTAATAAATTTGATGAAATAAAAAAAGAACCCCTCCCTATCTCAGAAACATCAGACTTCAAAATCATATCACCACCTGAGAAAAGTATTTGCCAAAAATATACATTTTCAAGGGTTGTTATCCTCAAGATAGCAAGACCTTATACAAATCAAATGGGAAATACTAAAACCCCAATAGGGCAATGAGCAGAAGACACGAAGAATAACAAGTCACAGGACAAGAAACCTTAATGGATAGAAAACATATGAAAAATATTCAACTGCATTTGTGGAGCCCTGAAATGTTCATAGCCTTTGACCTAGTGATTCTTCTAGATACCCAATTATAAGGAACTATTCAGAGATGTGCATAAATATTTATATTTGAATGTGTACACATCATTATAACAAAATAGTGAAAAATTGGAAGCCACATAAATGTCCCACAACAGAAAACAGGTAAAATAACCTTTGGACATTCACAGAATGGAATATTATGCAGGCATTTAAAAATATTTTTAAAATTATAAATGACATATAAAATTGCTCAGAATATATGTACAGTATGATTCAAACTATATAAAATATATACAGAGTAAGAAAAAAGAAGGAAATGTATCTAAAGGTTATAATATTTATTGGTGATGGATTATTTTGATTCTGAATTTTTCATAAACAGCTGATTTTTTTTAGATAGACTTTTTACAGAAATCTGTCACATAAAAAAATATGCACAAATCATAAATATACAGCTTAAACAATTTTTAAATTAACACACACATATAACTAGCACCCACGTCAAGAAATAGAAGATTATGAGCTCCCCAGAATCAACCCTCACCTCCCTCTTGTTACTACCCCCCACTTGCAAGGTAGCACTATCCTGACATTTCCTGCCATTGATTACTTTCGCCTATATTTGAGCTTTAGATCAATTGAGTCGTACACTATTGTTTTAGGTTTCTGGACCCAATTCCAAGGTGTGTATTTCGAGGGGCTTCCCACACAACACTGAGCAATTCTGGGACACCAGCAGGGTGTCTGAGAATTCAACTCAATTCTGACACTATCTGCCCAGAGATAACGTCAGATTGCACAGATTGAGGGCTCAGTCCTACAAGACTGTCCCCCTCCCCGCTTCAGAGGCCAGTCGCAAGGCCAGGCTGTTACCTGTGCTTCTGACCAGTAGGCGATAAATCAGAGGTTCCCACGACCCCCTCCTCTGGTTCAATTAATTTGCCAGAGCAGCTCACAGAACTTACTTACCAGATTAGTGGTTTATTATAAAAGGATATAACTCAGGAACAGCCAGATGGAAGAGATGCATAGGACAGGGTATGGAGAAAGGGCAGGGAGCTTCCATGCTCTCTCCAGGTGCGTTATTCTCTCCAAATCTCCACGTGTTCACCAACCCGGAAGCTCTCCAAACCCTGTCCTTTTTGGGTTTTTATGGAGGCTTCATTACATAAGCATGATTGATTAAATCATTGACCATTGGCGATTGATTCAACCTCCAGTCCCTCGCCCCTCCCCGGAGGTGGGGGGTGGAATGGGACTGAAAGTTCCAACCCTCTAATCACATGGTTGGTTCCTCTGGTGACCAGGCCCCTCCTTAGATGATCTAAGGGCATTCCAAAAGTCACCTTATTAGCATAACAAAAGATGCCTTCATTCTCAGCACTTAAGAAGTTCCAAGGGTTTTAGGAGCTCTGTTAGAAACAAGGACGAAGACCAAATATATATTTATTATAAATCACAATATCACAACTATATTCTCTTTTGTGTCTGGCTTTTACTCAACGTTATAGGTTATGAGATTCATCCTCGTTGTTTATAACAATAGTTGGTTATTCTCATTGCTGTGTAGTCTTCCTTTGTATGAAAACACCACAGTTTATTCATAGCTTGTATTAGTTTTATAATCAGTTAAAAAAAAGTTTAAAAAAATTGAAGTTACAGCTCAAATTGGAGGTATTTTATAATTGAGTTTTCCCCATAATATTAGTCTGCATTTCTCTAACTTGCGAGTCTTTCTGTCCTTTTGCTTTCTCTCTTCTGAGCCTTTCTTCATTAGGATCTCCACTACAGAATGAGAGGGAAACATGAAAGGAGACCAAAGGGGTGGAAAAAATTTCCCTTCTTCCCTTCTAGGTTCTTTGGCCGGTCTAATAATCAAATTGACATAAGATAGATTAACAGGAGAAAAACAAACACATTTTGTATGTACGGGAGCCCCATAAAAATATGAGACCCAAAAGGAGCCAGGTAATTGAGGCTTATATACCCTCCTAAGCTAAGGAAAGGGGTAGTGATCTGGGGATACCAAGGGGAGGAAGGCCATTCACGAATATACAAAGGGAAGGAAGGCGAGGAACTATTTGGAAAACAAAGGCTGTCCTGTTATGCAGATAAGCTTCTTAGGTAAAAAGGTGTCTCTGGTAATAACTCTCCTTCTGCTACAGTCCCCCTTTCCAACGAGAATTTAGGTAGTTGGGGCGGCGGGTAAAGAGCTTTTCTTGAATCTGCTGGGTTTTGATTGCCTTTAGCTCAAAATAATCCTCATGCCAAAGTGGCATATTTTGGGGTGACAAATTCTCCTCCCCTTCAAGATGAAACTTGAATTCCTTCATCCTGCCTCTCATTACTGCCCTGGCTCAGGATGGACCAAGGGAGTCAGCTCTCATTAACACGCCCCTCCCAGTACCATGCCGCCAGCCTTCCAGTCTCTGCTACAAGATATAATATGATAACATCGCACTCAGTGTCTTTTTCTAGTTGCAGAGTTAAATGACTCAGAACCATAACCAAGCCTATGTAATTCTGGAAGATTTTTTGGCTTCGATTTCACATATATTTATTTAGGTTTAATATAAAATGTAACTACAGAAGCAATCATAATCTTAGAGCTGAAATGACCTTCGAGACAATCTCAACCAGTTTTCACCTGGCAGGTGGTCTGCCCAGTCCACACCGTGGTGGGGGCCCAAGCTGGAATAGACTCCTGACTCACATTTGGAGGCCTGCTGCCTCCCTAAGTAAAAAGCCTTTTTGAGCCCCTTGACAAAAGCAGTTCTCTTGTTCATCTGTTTCCAGCATTTACTCTACAGCCTTCATGTTGTGAAGCATTCATTTCACAATTTGGAATTGTGTTCGGTCTTGATTCTTATTCGTAGGCATGGGCAGTATAGCCCTTCAATTTTTAAAGATTTATTCTAAATCACTAATGGGAAACTAATTGTTCTGTTACTCTCTAAAATTCAATCAGGACTCCAATTTAAGTTGGCATTCTGAGAACATATCCATATTATGTTTATTAAGGTAGTAAGTGTGTGAAGTTAACTTTTTTATGTGTTGCTTTTCAGGAGTTGAAGGTTTAGTAGTGCAAGGTGACCAAGCAGTTTCACAAATGAACCATCTAGCAAATTTCAAAAGATATTGTCCCAACTCAGAGGAAGTGGCGTTTAACCCATTGCACAAAAAAGCACGATCATCTTTTCCAGGGGAAGATAATATGGTTTGTATACTGAAGTGAAAATCTTTCTTTGTTTTTCCCATTCTGCTTTATTTCTTTTTTAAAAAAATTGAGTTTAATTTCATACAGTGAAATGCACAGATCTTAAGTGTACAGTTCAATGAGTTCTGACAAATATGTATACCCACCCCCCATCAAGGTAAACAACATTTCCATCACCCCAGAAAGTTCCCTCATTCCTCTTTCCAGTAAATCCCCATTCCCCTGAACCTTGGAGAAATACCATTCTGATGTTTTTTCCATCATAGATTAGTTTTGCCTGTTCTAAAACTTCATAGGAATAGTATCATACAGTATACACTCTTGTGTCACAGTCTCTTTTCCTTAGAATCATGTTTTGGAGATTCTTCTTGTCGTAGCAATATTTCATTCCCATTTATTGTGAGTAATATTTCATTGTATGAATATCCATAATTTGTTTATCCATTCTCCTTTAGATGGACATTTGGGTTGTTTCCAGCTATTATGAGTAAAGTGGCTATGAACGTTATTATGGAACTCTCTTTGTGAACATGTTTACATTTAATTTGGGTCAATACTCAGGAGTGGAAATACTGGAGCATGTGGTAGATGAAAGTTTATAAGAAACTGCCGAACAGTTTTCTGAAGTGGTTGTACTTTTCCATTATATTCTACTCTGCTTCTTAATGTCTGAAGTTGAATAAAATAGATTACTAAACTATATATAGTTTAGCTTAACAGAAAATGCTTTTGTTTACTTACATAAGGATGAGGATAGTAATACCATGTACGTAGTAAAGGCAGTTCTCTTAACTTCTATCAGCCCCGGTATTTTCATCTTCGGGGGTAATTTTAATTGTCTACCAAGAGTCATGGTTTCTGACATAATTTTGTGAAAGCACTTTGAAAAGCAGAAAACACTATACAAGGGTAAGATGGCAATATTGTTTTCCTAATTACTAATCTATATTATAATTTCATATAATTTTTGCTGTCTAATAAGTTTATAATGCAGGGCCAAATCAGATACCTTTTAAAATGAAGGCGTTGATGACTACTTGGTACGTTTATATTAAAATTATTCTTATACTCCATAATTCATCCTTAGAACAAAGAGTTATTATAATTAAATGTAATGGTTAATTGCTGTCTATTTACTTATTTATACCCTGTTTTATTCCAAAAAAGGATTTAAGGTGACGTAGAGATTAATTTATTAAGAAAAATAGGTAGTTTAAGTGTTTCCTATTTTGTCCACAGAGTGGCGCTGTTGGATTATTTGAAAATCAAAAGCCATGTAACATTTGGTTCTTTGTTCCTGGTTAGAAACATTTGCTTTTAAAGCAGTTCTGGTGCCAGATTACTGGAAGACTAGTCTTTCTACCCTAAAGTACATAGGGGGTTAAGCTTGATGGAAAATAGTGTCTTAAGTGTAGCTGGGTGACTGAGAAAACAGTTCTGCTAGTACCTCTTTTCATGTTGTTGTAGTATTTACAATGAGCAGAAGTCCTTTAGGCCTTGGGTGCTTCTCGAAAGGGAAATTGAAGTCCTGAACTTTTCTTTCAGTTCTTTCTTTCATATTTCCTTTTGGTTTATTAATAAATCTTCCCTAGGCAAGAACATGAATACCTGATTGTGAAGAAGGTGGAAGTGTCATTTAATGAACGCATATCAGACTGAATACGTAATATTAGTTGCTAATTGCCAAACATATTCACACTATCATAAAATGATTTAAATTCTTTTTCAGCCTTCATATGCTGCAGAGCTACTCTGAACTTGTGAGCTCAAGGAAATATTTCTCTCTCATGAATTTGTATGCTTCCTTAACAATGAGCACTTAATAGGACAATGAACACTTAACCATTTTATTTTCCTCTTTTCCTTATCTATTAGGAAATTCACAGCACTTTTATACCCTGTTTCAGTAGCTTTTCTAATTTTTGAAATAATTTTAGATTTACAGAAAAGTTGCAAAAATATTACAGAGAGTTCTCGTGTATACACTTCACACAACTTCCCTTAACGTTAACTTACCTGTATAACTTAAAATTATGGTAATTGTATAACCACAGTACAGTTTTCAAAACTGGGATATTAACATTGGTACGGTACGTTAGCTAAACTGCAGTCCATGTTTGAATTTCACCATTCCCCCTCCCCCATGTCCTGTTTCTGTTCCAGGATCCAGTCCAGTATCCCACATTGAACTGAGTTGTGTCTCCTTAGTTTCTTCTACTCTGTGACACTTTCTCTTTCTTTCTTTGTCTTTCATGACCTTGACATTTTTGATGAGTGTACTGATCACTTATTTTGTAATATGTCTCTCAATTTTGGTATGTCTGATACTTTTCTGTTGAATAGATTGAGATTGTACGTTTTTGGCAAGAACACCACACAAACGATGTTGTCTCCTCATTGAATCATATCAGGAGTACATGTTGTCTTATATCTTTTACTGGTGATGTTAACATTGATCACTTGGTTAACGTGGTGTCTTCTGGATTTTTCCACTGTAAAGCTACTATTTTTCCCTTTGTAATTAATAAATATCTTGGGTGCGAGGGTACTTTGAGACTATGCTAATATCCTGTTTCTCCTAAACTTTTTGCCCACTGAGTTGAGTTAGCTCATGGATTTTACCTGCAACATTCACTACTGTGGTGTTTGCCTAATGGTGACTCTCTATTGCCCTCATTTCTTTGTATGTATTAATTGGAATTTATTTGTGAGGAAGAGCTGTCCTTTCTCCTCCATTATTTATTCAGTTATATATTTTATATCAATATGGACTCATGGGCATTTATTATATTATATGAGTTGTAATTCAATAGTATAATTTTATTGATCAAATTTTTTAGCTTTGGCTATTGGGAGCTCCTTCCAGTTGGCTCCTGTGGCCTTTTGACATGCCCCCACGTTTTTTGAGCACTTCTTTATTTTCTGACATCACAAGATGTTCTGGATTCATTTATACTTTCCCTGCCCCAGCCATGGAATTCACCTATCTCCAAGGAGCCCTGGTTCCTTTTACTGGAGAGTGGTATTTAGAAACCAAGATCTGGACACTGGGAGTGTTCATTGCTACTCTTGTGTCATTGATCTTAAGCCGTCTCAGTGGACCAAGCTAGGAAATAAATGTATGTATACTAATCCATGCATACACATAAATCTATATTTTTATATATGGCTTTATGTATATTATAAACTATGTGTTCATACTGATATTCAGTAGCTTTCCTTAAACTTAGGTTCTTATATGATAACTTCTTTCCTTACCCCCCTTTTTAATCAGCTCTTATCTTTTTCATTCTCATATGAATGTGGGTTTTGGTTTTATTTTATGTCTGCTTTATATTATAAGACTTCTGAAATCCTTTTGGAATGTAGGTGAAAAAGAAAAACAATTCAAATCGATAAATATATAAAGTGTTATTTTTTCTAGTGCTTAAATTGGCTCTTAGGGATATTAAGCATTGACTATTTTTATTATATTAACAGGCGAGCAATGCATCTGAGGTTTTCTATGCTGAAAATCATCAAAACCGACTTATGGAAGTGCAACAGTGTTGCGAGGTATCAAAGTTCTGTCTCTTAAATGTAGTTTTCCAAAATATTGAGCTAAAATTTTTTTTATCTCATTTAATGTCATTGTACTATTAATAGAAATTTTGCTATGCCAAGTTCTGTATGATTATCACTCAATTGTGATGCATGAAAAAAATTTCTAGTTAGAACAGATTCCCTAGGTGAAAAACTTGAAATAAAAATATGGCTTTTCTAGCTTTAAACAACAACAACAGCAACAGCAGCCCATAACTGGTCAAATGTAGTTAAGTCTCTTTCATCTAGATTGTTCAATATTTAATTTCTCCAACATACTCTTTTAAGGAAATTGGCTGATTTGGATGAAATTTAGGTTGTGCCTAAATGCACATCAAGATATCTCAATTGAAACAAAATGGCAGCCCACTGCTGTTCTTTAAAGAGTGTATCTTGCAGAGTTTTGAGGGGATTTTGTAAAAATTAGCATGTTGGTAGAGATTGATAGAAGTATGTAATTATCAAGGATTTTGTGAGCTGCATACCCTAGAGCTAATGATGTTTATAAAAAATAAATGTCTTAACATACAAAGTTTCTTGAATAAAATGAGCTAGCATACTTTGAAAAGTAAAAAATGTTTATGTGAGTCTTTATCATTATCATCATAGAGAACAAAAGTGGAATGCTTAAAGGGAACATATCAAGTCTTCTGGGGAAGGATGTATGGAGGGTGGGATGCAGGGGGGAGGGAGGGGGTTCTGATTGTGAGCAGGGCTATCCCTGGCCTGCCTTACATAGGCATCAACGACGACCTAGGTTGACACTGCTTTGCCAGGGCCTTCTGAGCAATTGTACAGGTGTGGTGAGATATAGCATCTACGATAAGAAATGTCCAGGTTCCAAAGTTACCCCCCTGAAATGGGCCCTGAGGGCTCCTCTTCGTTTCTGCTCATGTGCTAGCTCTCTGCTTTCTTCAACTCCTTCCCTTACCAGTCTAGACCACATGGTGCAGCACTTGCATTTTTCCTTTTTTTATCCTTGCCCAGCATCCTCTTCAGTAAAACTCTGTCCAGGCTGTGAAGCAGAGGGGAGGACTTCTGCTGGGACCCGTCCACAGCCCTATAATCCTTCAATAGCTCTCTAGTCTGCTCTCTCCCTCATCCCCCAGGAGCTCCAGGCACCCCAATCCTTGCCTCTTATTTCATGGAGTAAATGGAGGGCATAGAGCAGAAATCCCCTCCAAGTCTTGATTCCTCTCCTCATAGCAAACAAATTTGCCTGGATCCACCCCTCTGCTGACTTCCTTCTCGAGCATTCGAATGGGAGAGGTGTCTTCCTTTGTAAGGCTAACACCTTTGCAGGTTTCTGCACCTGACCCTCTTTCCCTGTGCTCAGACACCTCTCTTCACGGGTCATCCCTCTCTCTCCTATATCTTCAGCTTCTGTCTCTATTGCTTTCAGCATATTCTCCCACAGTTTAAAAAAATCTCTTCTTTTGGCCTCCCATCCCTCTTTAGCTGTCATCCTTTCTCTTTCCTTCTCCTTAATAACCCAGCTCTTTGAAAATCATTTATATTCACTGTCTAAACATCTGACTTCCTGTTTTTATCTCTCTTTTTTAATCATAAAAGTAAGACATATGCACATAGTTCAAAGAAAAGTTAAACAGTAGAGAGTGGGCTTCAATGAAATAAGGAAGTGCCCACCCTTTTTCTCTTCACCCTCAGCTCTATACTTTGGAGGTAACCACTTTTAATAGTCTTTACTTTAAATTCTTCTTGTGGTTTCTGCCATTATCTAAATAATATGCCTATACTCTATTTCTTTTGGTGTCAACTTTCAGTGTTAACTATTAACTTTACCACTATGAAAGATGAGGAATTTAGCTCTTTCATCTTCCCCAAGTTGTAATTAGTTATGCTATTATTTGTAGTTCTTTATTGCTTACTGTTAGTTTTTACTAATGAACTTCTATTACCTGTTCTATTAGCTTTAGACAGCAGTCGTGCTCCATCGCATAAGAATTAGAAATTAGCAATCCACACACTATCTTCTACTTGTCTTCCTTCCAACTCCCGTTTCTCACATTCCTAACACCAGCAAAGTTTATAAATTCGGCTCTGTAAACTGTCAATAAGCCTTCCATGTTTTGGATGTAGGTTATTTCTAAAAATCAAAAACAATCAGTGCTTACAATAGTAGGATTTTGTAAACATTATTTTCTATAGAACCAAATAATGTCATTGGCCTCTCACAGGGCAAGAAATAGAATCTTACGTTGCTGATTCTCTACTGATCAGTGTCCTGAGCATCAGGTCAATGGATTCTCTCCTGTCTTCTACCAGCACTCAAAATCACGTCCGATTCTACTTAGTTTTCTATTTGGATTATGGCTTTACTTGTCTAAACATTTTCTTATGTAGGAGACTTTTTTCTCTTGGAATTTCTGCTGACCTTTTATTTATTTAATTTTGTTAAAAGAAGAAATACACCTTTTTCATCCCTTCACTGGGATTTTGAAGCTTCAGCTTCATATGGAATGGGATCTACTTTCTTCTTAAAGTCACTTTTACACAAATCCTTCCTGTTCTAACTTGAACCAATTACTTTATAGACACAAGTGTCACCTCAGTACTTCTTTCGGTGGCCTGCTGTTTCTTGGAGCCCATGGCTTCCTCATCTTGATTCCCTCTGGTTTTCTTTTTCATTTTCCCTGAGTAACTACCCCTTAAACATTTTTTTCCCCAGAAATGTGCATATGAGTTAAATTTCCAGAGTCTTTGCATATCTGAAATTGTCTTTGCGTCCTTTATATATCTTATGTCCCACATTTGTCCCTCACACTGAGTATGGAATTCTATGTTCAAAATTACTTTCCCATAGAAATTCTATTCTAGCATCCAGTGTTCTTGAGAAGTCTGTTAGTATTATGATTCTGTATAGGTGAAATTTTTTCTCTGTCTTTGGAAACTTTTAGAATCTTTTCTTTATCCCTTTTCCATATATCCTGCTTAGCCCTACATGGGCCCTTTCAATTTGAAGATTTGTGTCATTCTTTAGCTCTGATAGAATTTTTTCTTCATTTCCTCCTTTCCAGGTACTCTGTTCCCTCTATCTGGAATGACTTTTAGTTGGATGTGACAACTCCTATATCATCCATGTTGCTTAATGTTCATCTCATTTTCTGGATCTTTGACCTGTGTACAGTGTTCTGGGTAATACCCTTGACTTTATCTTCCTGATGTTCTATTGATTTTTTTTTTGGTAGAGTCAATCATATTTATAATTTTCAGTAATTTGTTCTTATTTTCTGATTGCCACTATTTTATAGTGTTATATTCTTGTTTTATGGATGTGTGAAATCAACCCGAATAATCTCTTCAAGCATACTATTTGGATCATTAAAAGTGTTCTTCTTCTGGGGCTGCCTGGTGGCGCAGCAGTTAAGTGCACGCGCTCCGCTGCGGCTGCCCGGGGTTCGCAGGTTCAGATCCTGGGTGCGCACTGACGCACCGCTTGTTAAGCCATGCTGTGGCGGCGTCCCATATAAAGTAGAGGAAGATGGGCACGGATGTTAGCCCAGGGCCCGTCTTCCTCAGCAAAAAGAGGAGGATTGGCAGATGTTAGCTCAGGGCTAGTCCTCCTCACACACACACACACACACAAAAAGTGTTCTTCTGTTTTTGAAACTACATCTTTCTCTTCTAAGTTCATTTGTACTATCGATTGGTCACTCTCTGCTCAGTCTAAATCTACCTGAATGATTTCCTCTTCACCAAAGGTTTGATTCAGTACAGTTCCGACTCTCAAATCTGTCTTACCCTATGCTGCTCTCCCCAGAATCATGTTTGTATCTAGCCGCCTGCTAGAGAACTCTACATAATGTGCAAAAAATTATCTTTTCCATATTCTCTCTCTCAGGTTAACTACCATCATCTCCTTAATTGTTTAAGCCAGAAATTCAGACATTGTCCTTGATTAGTTCCTTCCCCTCTCCCCCATTTACCAAGTCCTGATGATTCTCTCTTCTTAATATCACTCAAAACAGTTTTTTCCATCCTAACCAACACGACCTTGATCCAGACACTCATCATTTTTCATTTTGAACTTTTCTAAAAATGAGTCTGCCTCGTGTCTTTCCCACGCTTGAGTTTCTATTGCCTTCAGGGTAAAAATCTAAATATGGTACTACTTGCCTCCCCAGCCTCCTTTCCCAACACTTTTTCCTCTAAGTCTCATGCTTTACTCTAAACTAGAAATAGTTCTCTAAATATATTATGATTATTCATGTTCTGGCATTTTTGAATATGCTGTTCCTTCTGCCCTGTATGCCCTTCCATGCATCTTTACCTGGAGAACAATTTCTCATCTTTTAATTCTCAACACAGACATATCCTTCTCTGAAAAGCCTGCCATAACTGCCAGCCTGGGTTAGGTACCCTTTTTCTGTGCACATTTAGCCTCCTGTTCTTACTTGTGTTATGGCACTGGTAATAATAGTGATAATAGACAATTGAGCACTATTGGACCAGTCATCATGCAGTATTGTTATTATTGTGTTAGTATTAACATAATATTATAGCACCTTGCTTTGTCCTCAAGAGAACTCTGAGAGAGGTTTTCACAATCTATTGAGAGATTGAAGCACAGAGAAGTTAAGTAACTTGCCCAAGGTCACAGAGCTAATAAGTGGCAGAACTCTAGTATTTGAACCCAACTTCATTCCCCTAGAGCCTGTGCTGTTTACCTCAGTGCTAGAGGCCGGTGGGTCTCACACTTGATCGTGCCTCAGAATCATCTGGAGGGCTTGTGAAAACACGGATCTCGGCCCCCCACTCTCCGAGTTCCCGAGTCAGTAGGTGATATTGATGCCGCTGGTCCACAGACCACACTTTGAGAACCACTGCTCCAGCCTGCTAATCACTTTCTCTATTGGGATCGTCTCTTTACTTGTCTCTCTCTCCAGCTAAAATGGGAGTTCCTTAGGGCAGGAGCTGGCTTTTTTTGTGGTTTGTTGTTGTTTTTTTTAAGATCTATGTTCCCAGCATCTAGCAAAGTAGTTCTGACAGGTGGTAGACCCTCAATGAGTGTTTATTTGAATGCATGAGTGAGGAAATGGTTCTGGCCTCTTATTTAAGTGTATCTTCTGCCCGAATGAAATTTCTGTGTATTTCAAGAATTCTCAGGTTTTATCAGTCACACAGCTGATTGGCATGCAGGGGACATATACTCAAAGGTTTTGTAAGGTTCATTGTTGATTGCATGATTTTAAAATACTTTGAAGCCAAAAGTCACATCTGTTCTGTTTGGCTCATTGTTCTTTCCCGAGTGGAACGCTCACTGCCTATTAGTTCAATACCATCATCATATGGAAAGAGGCTCTTTGGCCTTTTAGCAGATCTGAAAATTTCTTTCCTAAAATGGCACCTTCCTTGATGTAAAATGACTCCATCATAAGTGTGATGGCTTATAGGAATTGTGGGACATTGACTTTCCAGTAGTAAAGCTTCTTAAAATGCTAGAATGACATGGAGTAGTTGAGGAGGAGGTGGGGGCTCCTCACCTCAGCCAGCTCGGCTCTATGTCACCTACAACCAGGCATCAAGTGGAAAATGAGACGTTTCTGACGGCTTGAGAACTTTGTTTCTAGCAGTAAAATTTGACTTATTGATCTTTTTATATGTTACTTTTCTTTTGAAATAGGAACTACTAAAATATTTTTTTACTATAATAGGATTTACGTGAACTTATTGAAAACACGCATAGACAGGTGAACCACCTTTGTGAAATCATTTCAAAAGGTCAACATCCTTGGGAGAAACCATTATCATTCAACTGCGTAAGTGTTATAAAAACATTTTTACTTCTTCGATAAACCTCTAGTTCCTAAAGATGCCAATCAGTTAGAAGTGAGTGAGAACTAATAACTCTGTGAGATTGCAAGGCTGATCTAGAATTACTTTAGCAGCCCCTAGAAGACCAAACCTCTGTGGGAAGAATGCTGAAGTTTAGGCTTGAGAAATTATGACACTGAACATTTTTATGTTTGTAACCATAACGTATAAAATGCAATCAAAATGTAGGGTTGAAGAGGAATAAAAATCATATAATAAAAATTCAGCATTTGTCTTTAATTGTGGAAAACGATATTGCAGGGAAAATAGGTATTCATGCTTTTACACACTTTTTAATTCTCAGTTTCACTCACAGGTGATTTATACTGGGTTTGTGTCATTTTAGAGGTCAACTGGATTTACACAAAAAAGTTTTGATTGTATACTTCATGGAGAAATTAAAGTGCAGGAACCAGAGAAGAGAGCTTAACCCATTCTGTTCTCTTACCTGGACAGGGAGATGGCAGCCCGTCTTTACCAGTGGAAAGACAGGAAAGCTGTGTCCAGACCAGCCCTGAGGGCACATCGCTTCAGTCAACAGCACTCCCGGAAGTGCAGCAGCTGGGCCTCTGGGATAGTTCACTTCCCAAAATCGTCTCTGTACATTCGTTACAGCCGTTTTACACACCAGGCGGCCCAGTACCTGGTCTCTCTGTCCTCTCCTGCCCTGTGGGTGAAGGTGCTGAAACTACCAACAGTGTTACCTCGTCTGCCCAGCCAACTCTGGCAGTACCTACACCAGTTCTGCCACAAGGAGAACCCAGTCTGGCCAACATCCCTGAAATAATGAAATATGCAATTTTGCTGGGAAATAACAGCATAGGTCCAGACACTGTCTCGTCATCTCTCGGCATCCCTCCCAATTTTGGTGAGTTTGAAGTGTCACATGTTATAAATAGCATCCTCTAATCTAGATTAAAAAGCATCCTTAATGCAAACTAGCAAGAACTATTCTTTTTAATTAAAAGTTTTATATTGAGATAATTGTAGAGTCATAAGCGGTTGTAAGAAATAATACAGAATGATACCCTTTACCCAGTTTCCCCCGATGGTAGCATCTTGCAAAACTATAGTAAAATATCACCACCAGGATATTGACGTTGATATAATCCACGGATCTTATCCAGCTGTCCTCAGTTTGACTTGTATTCATTTGTGTGTCTGTGCATCTAGTTCTATGTGATTTTATTATGTGAGAAGGTTTGTATGTCCACCACCAGAGTCAAGGTACAGAACATTTTCATCACCACAAGGATCACTTGTGTTGTCCTTTTATAACCACACTCATCACCCTCTGGTGGCCCTGCCCTCCCCATTCCCCTGTCCCTAACTCTTGGCAACCAGTGATCTATTCTTCATCTCTAGAACTTTGTCACTTCATCATTGTTATATAGTTGGATGCGTATAGGATGTAACCTTTTGATATTGGCTTTTTTCACTCAACTTAAATCCCTAGTGGTAACCAAGTTGTTGCATGTATCTCTAGTTCCTTCCTTTTTATTGCTGAGTACTATTCCATGGTATAGATGTGCCATAGTTTAACTGTTCATCTGTTGAAGAAAATTTTACATTTTTTTTTCCAGTTTTTGACTCTTAGGAGTAAGGCTGCTGTGAATATTCATGTACAGGTTTTTGTGTAAATAGAAGTTTTCATTTCTCTGACATGAATACCCAAGAGTGCAATTGCTGGTTATAGGTTGATTGCATCTTTAGTTTTATGAGAAACTACCTGTTTTCTAGTGTAGCTATACCATTTTGCATTCCTGCCAGCTATGTATGAGTGATCTGGTTTCTCTGCATCCGTATTTCTGCTCTTTCCATTGTTCTTTCTTTCTTCTAATGTTTCATGATTCCGTCTTTCATCATACTTTTTCTGATAGGTTTTCCTTTAGTCTTTCTTTAAGAATGAGTCTGCTGGGGACAAAATCTTTTAGTTTTCCTTTGTGTGAGAATGTCTTTATTTCCCCTTCTTTCCTGAAGGATAGTTTCACCCAGTATAGAATTTGCGGATGAGAGTTCTTGTATTATAGCTCTTGAAAACTTTTTATTTATAGAAATGCCAGGAATAGGAGAAACCAGCTTTGAATCAATCAACAGCACTGAATCAATATATTACCCAACTTCATTGGGAAATGACAGTGGCCAAGATACTGCCTCTTCATCTGACTTCATCCTTCCCAATTTTGGTGAGTTTGAAATGACACATATTACAAATAGCACTGTTTAATCTAGATCCAACATCCTTAATGCAAGTCAGTGGTAGCTCTTTTTTTAATTAAGCTTTTTATTTTGAGATACTTTTAGATTCACGTGTAGTTGTAAGAAATTATACAGAGATCCCATTTGTGCTTTACCCATTTTCCCCAACGATAACATCTTGCAAAACTATAGTAAAATATTACCCAGGATACTGACATTGATTAAATCCACGTTTGTGTTTGTGTGTGTGTGTGTATTTGGTTCTGTGCAATTTTATTCCATGAGTTGGTGTAACTGTCCACCACCACAGTTGTGATACAGAACACTTCTGTCATCACCACAAGGACCCTTCATATTGCCCTTTTATACCACAGCCACCTCCCTCTGGTCACCCTTTCCTCCCACCCTGCCCCATCCTAACCCCTGGCAAGCAATGAACTCATCTCCCTTTCTATAATTTTGTCACTTGAATATTGTTATTTAAATGGAATAGAATACTATATAACCTTTGGGGCATGGCTTTTTTTCACTAAACTTAATTTCCTGGAGATTCATACCAATTTTGCATGTACCAATAGTTCTTTCCTTTGTATTATTGAGTACTATTCCATCGTATGGATGTACAACTGTTTATCTGTTTACCCTTTGAAAGACACCTGGGATATTTGCAATTTTTGGCTATATCAGGTTAAGCTCTATGAACAGTCATGTACCAGTTTTTGTGTAAACATAAGTTTACGTTTCTTTTATTATTATTATTATTTTTTTTTTGTGAGGAAGATCAGCCCTGAGCTAACATCCATGCTAATCCTCCTCTTTTTGCTGAGGAAGACCGGCTCTGAGCTAACATCTATTGCCAATACTCCTCCTTTTTTTTTCCCCCAAAGCCCCGGTAGATAGTTGTATGTCACACTTGCGCATCCTTCTAGTTGCTGCATGTGGGACACGGCCTCAGCATGGCCAGAGAAGCGGTGTGTCAGTGCGCGCCCAGGATCTGAACCCGGGCTGCCAGTAGCAGAGTGCGCGCACTTAACCGCTAAGCCATGGGGCCGGCCCCTACATTTCTTTTAGATGAATGCCCAAGAGGGCAATTCTGGGTCATATTGTAATTCCATGTTTAGTTTTATAAGAAACTGCTAAAATATTTTTTCAGAAGAGCTGCACCATTTTACCTTCCACCCATAATATATAAGTGATACAATTTCTCTGCATGCATATTTCTTCTCTTTCCATTGTTCGTTCTTCTTGCTGCTCAAAGATCCATTCTTTCATCATATCCTTTCTGTTTGAAGATTTTCCTTTAGCCTGTCTTTAAGGGTATGTCTGTAAGGGACAAGTTCTTTTAGTTTTCCTTCATGTGAGAGTGGCTTTTAGTTTTCCTTCATGTAAGAGCATCTTTATTTCCCATAAATTAATGAAGGATAGTTTCGCTACATATAAAATTAATGGTTGAGAGTTCTTTTCTTAAGCACTTAAAAAGTGTTCTTCCTATATATATGCCAGAAACAGCAGAAACCAGCCTGGAAAACAACCTTGAGAAAATGAATTACCCAACTTTATTGGGAAATGACAATGGCCAGTGTTCTTCCTCTTCATCTGTCAGCCTCCCACCCGGTTTTGGTGAGTTTCACATGCTACATATTACAAGTAGCACTATTTAACCTAGATGCATCAACATCCTTAATGCAAGCTAGCGGTAGCTCATTTTTTAAATTAAACTTTTTATTTTGAAATAATTTTAGATTCACATATATTTGTAGAAAATGATGTAAAGAGATCCCTTTTGCACTTTACTCTTTTCTCCCAATGATAGCATCTTGTAAAAAGTCACAACAAAACTATAGTAAAACATCACAATTGACAATGATATAATACACAGATGTTATTGAGATACCCCCAGTTTTACTTGTAGTAATTTATGTGTATTTATATTTATTTCTATCTAATTTTGTCACAAGAGTAGGTTTGATATCCACCACCACAGTCAAAATACAGAACATTTCCATCACCATAAGGATGCCTCACCTTGCCCTTTTATAACCACACCAACCTCTCTCAGGTCCCTGTTTCCTTCTCCACTGTCCGTTCCCTAACCCCTGGCAAACCCTGGTCTCTATAATTTTGTCACTTCAAGAGTGTTACATAAAGGGAATCTTATGGTATGTAACCTTTGAGGATTGTCTTTTTTTTTCACTCAGCATAATTCCCTGAAGATTCTTCCAGGTTGTTGCATGTATCAATACTTCCTCCCTATTTATTGATGAATAGTTTTCCATGGTTTCAATATGCAATAGTTGTTTTTAACCATTCACCCATTGAAGGACATTAGTTCTTTTTTTTTTCCAGTTTTTGGTATTAGGAGTTAAGCTGCTATGAACATCCATGTACTGGTTTTTGTATAAACATAAGTTTTTATTTCTCTGTCATGAATGCCAAGAGTGCAATTGTTGAGTCTTATGGTAATAGCATGTTTAGTTTTATAAGAAACTGTCAAACAGTTTTCCAGAGAGGCTGTACCATTTTTCATTCTCACTAGCAATGTATGGGTGATTCAGTTTCTCCTCATCCATATTTCTGTTCTTTCCATTGTTCTTTCTTCCTTCTTGATGCTCCAAATTTCCTTCTTTCATCATATCCTTTCTGTTTGAAGATTTTCCTTTAGCCTTTCTATATGGGTAAGTCTGCTAGGGACAAATTCTTTTGGTTTTCCTTTGTTTCAGAATGTCTTTATTTCATCTTTTTCCTGAAGGATAGTTTCGCCTTAGGATTCACTGTTGAGAGTTCTTTTCTTTCAGCACCTGAAAAACTCATACTTATAGAAATGCCAGGAAAAGAAGAAACTGGCCTGGAAAACAGCTCTCAGACAGTGTATTACCCAGCTTTAGTGGGAAGTTTCGGTGGTCCAGATACTGGCTCTTCATCTCTCTCCCTGCCACCTGATTCTGGTGAGTTTGAAATGATACATATTTTAAGTAGCACTGTTTAATCTAGATCCATCAACATCCTTAATACAAGCCAGTTGCAGCTCTTTCTTTAACTTTTTATTTTGATGTAATTTAAAATTCACATGCAGTTGTAAGAAATAATACAGAGAGATCCCATTTATGCTTTACCTATTTTCCTCAATGATAGCAGCTTGCAAAACTGTAGTGTGGTGTCACATCTGGATATTGACATTGATACAATCCACAGATGTTATTGACTTGCCTCCAGTTTTATTTGTATCTGTGTGTGTGTGTGTGTGTGTACACGTTCATGTGTGTAATTAGCACTATGCAATTTTATCACATGAGTAGGTTTGCATGTCCACCACCACAGTCAAGGTAGAGGCCATTTCCATCACTCAAAGATCCCTCGTTATTGCCCTTTTACAACCACACCCACCCTCCCTTCCCGCAAGATCTATCCCTGACACTTGGCTACCATTGAGCTCTTCTTTGTTTCTATAATTTTGTCTCTTCAGATTGTTATATAAGTGGAATCATACCCTATATAACCTTTTGGGATTAGCTTTTTCACTCAGCTTAATTCCCTAAAGATTCATCCAGTTTGTTGCATATATCAATAGTTTATTACTATTATTCCTGAATAGTATTCCGTGCTATGGCTATACTACATTTTGTTTAACTGTTCACCTGTTGAAGGACCTCTGGGTTTCTTTCAGTTTTTGGCTATTAGGAGTAAAGCAGCTATAAATATTCATATATACATTTTTGTGTAAATATGAGTTTTCATTTCTCAATAGGTCCTTTCTATCGATGAAGAGTTTTCCATGATATAGATATGCAGCAGTTTTTTTTAAAAAAACATTCACACATTGAAGGACATCTGTTTTTTTCTTTCCAAGTTTCTGGATACTGCAAGTAAAGCTGCTGTGAACATTCATGTACTGATTTTTGTGTAAATATAGGTTTTCATTTCTCTGTCATGAATGCCAAGAGTGCAATTGCTTGATCTTACGGTAATAGCATGTTTAGCTTTATAAGAAACTGCCAAACAGTTTTCCAGAGAGGCTGTACCATTTTACATTCCCAACAGCTATGTATGGGTGATCCAGTTTCTCCCCATCCATATTTCTGATATTTCCATTGTTATTTCTTCCTTCCTGATACTCCAGGATTCCATCTTTCATAATATCCTTTCTGTTTAAAGATTTCCCTTTAGCTATGTTTTTTTATTGAGTTTACACTGGTTTATAACATTATATAAAAATCAGGTGTACATCATTATATTTCTGCTTCTGTGTAGACTACATAGTGTTCACCACCCAAAGTCTGGTCGCCATCCATCACTGTACACATGTGCCCTTTTACCCCTTTCACCCTCCCCCCTTCCCCTCTGGTAACCACCAAACTATTCTCTGTGTCTATGTGTTTGTTGTTGTTTTTATGTTCTACATATGAGTGAAATAATATGGTATTTGGCTTTCTCCGTCTGGCTGATTTCGCTTAGCATAATACCCTCAATCCTTTAGCTGTTTTTTAAGGATAACTCTGCTAGGGACAATTTTTAAAAAAATTTTCCTTTGTGTCAGAATGTTTTTATTTCCCCTCCTTTCCTGAAGGATAATCTCACCCAGTATAGAATTCACAGCTGAGAGTTCTTGTCTTTCAGCAGCTGAAAAAATTATGCTTATAGAAATGCCAGGAAAAGCAGAAACCAGCCTGGAAAACAGCTCTCAGACAGTGTATTACCCAACTTCACTGGGAAATGACAGTGGCCCAGATACTGCCGCTTCATCTTGCTCCATCCCACCCAATTTTGGTGAGTTTGAAATGATACATATGTCAAGTAGCACTGTTTAATCTAGATCCATCAGCATCCTTAATGTGAGCTAGTGGTAGCTCTTTTTTAAATTAAACTTTCAATTTTGTGGTAATTTAAGACACACACATAGTTGTAAGAAATAATACAGAGAGATACCGTTTATGCTTTACCCATTTCTCCCAACAATAACATCTTGCAAACCTATAATAGAACATCACACAGGATATTGACATTGATAAAATCCCTAGTTTAATTGTATTGTATCTCCCTAGTTTAATTGTATTGATTTGTGTGCATGTGTTTAGTTTTATTTGATTTTATCACATGAGTAGGTTTGACGTCCACCATCACAGTCAAGATATAGAACATTTCCATCACCATAAGGATGCCTCATCTTGCCCTTTTGTAACCATATCCATCTCAGCATAATTCCCTGAAGATTTATCTGACTTGTTGCGTGTATCAGTAGTGTATCTTTTTTATTCCTGAGTATTATTCCATGGTATGGATGTACCACGGTTTGTGTATTGGTTCACTGTTGAAGAACTAGATTTTTTCCAATTTTCAGTATTACGAGTAAAATTGCTCTGACTGTTCATGTATAGGTTTTTGTGTAAACATGAGTTTTGATTTCTCTTAGATAAATGCCCAAGAGTACAAATGCTTGGTTGTATAGTAATTGCATGTTTGGTTTTATAAGAAACTGCCAAACAGTTGTCCAGAGAGGCTGTACCATTTTACTTTCCTATCATCAATGTGTGAGTGATCCAGTTTCTCTGCATCCATATTTCTGCTGCTTTCATTGTTCTTTCTTCCTTTTTTATGCTCCAAGATTTGTTCTTTCATCATTCTTTTCTTTCTTTTTTTTTTTTAATGAATGTTATTACTGTTGTGTACAGACAGCCTTCTTTCTTTTTATTTATTTATTTATTTTTTCCCCCAAAGCCCCAGTAGATAGTTGTATGTCATAGCTGCACATCCTTCTAGTTGCTGTATGTGGGATGCGGCCTCAGCATGGCCGGAGAAGCGGTGCGTTGGTGCGCGCCCGGGATCCGAACCCGGGCCGCCAGCAGTGGAGCACGTGCACTTAACTGCTAAGCCACGGGGCTGGCCCTCATCATTCTTTTCTGATAGAAGATTTTCTTTTTTTGTTGTTGTTGTTGTGAGGAGATCAGCCCTGTGCTAACATCTGCCAATCCTCCTCTTTTTTTGCTGAGGAAGACTGGCCCTGGGCTAACATCCGTGCCCATCTTCCTCCACTTTATATGGGACACCGCCGCAGCATAGCTTGCCAAGCAGTGTGTCGGTGCATGCCCGGGATCCGAACTGGCGAACCCCGGGCCGCCGCAGCGGAGCACGCGCACTTAACCGCTTGCGCCACCAGGCCGGTCCCTAGAAGATTTTCCTTTAGCTATTCTCAAGTGTAAGTCAACTAGTGACAAATACTTTTAGCTTTTCTTCATGTGAGAATGTCTTTATTTCCTCCCCCTTTTTTTTTTTTAACAATTTAGATGTTCATTTCTGTTTTTCAGTTTTATTGAGGTATAATTGACAAATAAAATTGTAAGATGTTTAAAGTGTACAATGTGGCAATTTGATATATGTATACATTGTGAAAGGATTCCATCAATTAACACATCCAGCACCTCACATATTTACCTTTTTATTTTTTAGAGGTGAGAATGCTTAAGTTCTACTCTCTTAGAAAATTTCAACTATACAATACAGTGTTATCAACTATAGTCACCATGTTATACGTTAGATCCTCAGACCTTATTCATCTTCTAGTTGAAAGTTTGTACCCTTTTACCAACTTCTCCCTGTTTTCCCCACTCCCCAGCCCCTGGCAACCATCAGTCTACTCTCTGTTTCTATGAGCTCGACTTTTTTTTTTTTTGAGATTCCACATATAAGTGAGATCACGCAGTATTTGTCTTTCTCTGTCTGGCTTATTTCACTTGGCATAATGCCCTCCGAGTCCATTCATGTGGTTGCGAATCTGCTTCATTCTTGAAGGATAATTTTGCCTGATATAGAATTCATGGTTGAGATTTCGTGTCTCTCAGTACTTGAAAATATTTTATTTATAGAAATGTTGGTAAAAGCTCAAACCAGCCTGGAAAAGAGCTCTGAGACAACAAATTATCCACTTTTATTGGAAAACAACAGTGGCCAAGACATTCCCTCATGTTGCTACATTCCTCCAAATTTTGGTGAGTTTGAAATGATACTTATGACATGTAGCATATTTACTCTAGATTCTTCAACATCCTTAGGGCAAGACAATGGTAGCTTTTTCTAATTAAAGTTTTTATTTTCAGAAAAATTTAGCTGCACATGCAGTTGTAATAAATAATACAGAGAGATCCTGTGTTCCCATTTCCCAGTTTTCCCCAATGGTAGCATCTTGCAAAAGGATAGAAAATTATCACAACCAAAATACTAACATGATACCATTCACAGATATTATTGAGATGTCCCCAGTTTCACTTGTATTAATTTGTGTGTGTGTATTTAGGTTGATATAATTTTATCATATGTGCAGGTTTACGTATCCTCTACCACAGGCAAGCCCCAAAACAGTTCCATCACTACCATGATCTCTCATACTGCTCTTTTATAACCACATTCACCTCTCTCCAGTTGGCATTTCCCCCCTACCCCGACACCCTGCCCTGTCTCTGACTGCTGGCAACCATGAATCTGTTCTCCAGATCTATAATTTGTGCCTTCAGCATTGTTATATAAATGGAATCATGTGGTGTTTGAGATTGGCTTCTTTCTCTTTGTGTAATTCTCTGGAGACTCATTCACATTGTTGTGTGTATCAGTTAGTCCGTTTTTATTCCTGAGTAGTATTTCATGGTATGGGTGTACCATGGTTTATTTATCTGTTCACCTTTTGAAAACCTCTGGGTTTCCTGTTTTTGGCTGTAGGGGTGAAGCTACTATGAATACTCATTCATAGTTTTTAATTTCGCTTCATTTCACTCTTTCACACAAGTTTTCATTTGTCTGGGATGAATGCCCAAGAGTGCAATTTTTGGGTCCTCTGGTAATTGCATCCTTAGTTTTATAAGAAACTGACAAACTGCTTTCCAGTGTGGCTGTACCATTTTCCATTCCCGCCAGCGATGTGTGAGTGGTCCAGTTTCTCTGCATCTATTTCTGCTCTTTCCATTGTTCTTTCTCCTTCTTGATGCTCCAGAATTCTATCTATTATATCCTTTCTGTTTGAAGATTTTCCTTTAGCCATTTTTTAAGCATAGGTCAGTTACTGACAAATAATTTTGGTTTTCCTTTGTCTGTAAATATCTTTATTTTTGCTTCATGCTTGAAGGATAGTTTCATCCGATTTAGAATATGAGGTTGGGAGTCTTTTCTTACAGCATTTGAAAAATATTTTCCTTGTAGAAATGTTGGTCAAAGCACAAACTAGCCCAGAAAAGCACACTCCGATGGTGAATTACCCACCTTTCTTGGAAAATGGCTGTGGTCAAGATACTTCACCATGTTTCTTCATCCCTCCCAGTTTTGGTGAGTTTGAAATGATACATATTACAAGTAGCACTGTTTAATCTAGATCCATTAACACCCTTAATGTGAGCTAGTGGTAGATTTGCCTAATTAAAACTTAATTAATTAAAAATTGAAAGTTTTATTTTGAGAAAATTTTAGCTTCCCATGCAATTGTAAGAAATCATATAGAAAGATCTTGTGTACACTTTACCCAGTTTCCCCCGATGATAACATCTTGCAAAACTGTAGTACACTCTCACAACCAGCATATAGACATAGATACAGTCCACAGATTTTATTGAGATGTTCTCAGGTTTATTTGTATTTGTATGTGTGTTTCTGTTTGTGTGTGTATGTGTATTCACTTTTATATAATTTCATGACATGAGGAAGTTTCCATATGCTCCATCACAGCCAAGATTCAAAACATTTCCATTACCACAAGGATTTCACCTATTGCCCTTTAAAACCACACCTGCCTTTCTCCTCTCACCCTCCTACCCCTACCCTGCCCTGTCCCTGCCCTGTCCCTGCCCTTGGCAACCACTAATCTGCCATTTCAAGAGTTTTATATAAAAGACCCACGTAGTATGTAACCTTTAGGGATTGCCTTTTTTCATTCTGCATAATTCCCTGGAGATTCATCTAAGCTGCTGTGTATATCAGTAGTTTTTTCTTTTTTATTGCTGAATACTATTCCATGGTATGTGTGTACTGTGGTTTGTTTATCTGTTTGCTGGGTGGAGGACATCTGGGTTGTTTCCAGTTTTTGGCTATTAGGAGTAAAGCTGCTGTGAACACCGTGTACAGGTTTCTGTGTGAATATCAGTTTTCATTTCTCTGAGATAATGTCCAAGAGCACGTTTGCTGGGTCCTCTGGTAATGGTAAGTTGAGTTTTGTAAAATACTGCCAAATTGTTTTCCGGTGTAGCTGTACCATTTTACATTCCCACCAGCAGTGTATGAGTGATCGAGTTTCTCTGCAGGCATATCTATGCTCTTTCTATTGTTCTTTCTGCCTTCCTCATTCTCCAAAGTTCTTCCTTCCTTCATCATATCCTTTTGGTTTGAAGATTTTCCTTTAGCCGTTTTTTAAGGGTAAGTCAGCCAGTGACAATTTTTTTTTTAGTTTTCCTTTGTCTGAGGATGTCTTCATTTCCCCTTCATTCCTGAAGGATAGTTTCGTCTGATATAAAAATTACTGTTGAGATTTCTTGTCTTTCAGCACTTGAAAATGTTTTACTTATTGAAATGTTGTTAAAACAGAATCCAGCACAGAAATGAGTTCTGAGACAATGAATTATCCAACTTCAGTGGAAAATGACAATGACCGAGATACTAATTCAGAATCTTTCTTCCTCACTCCTGGTTTTGGTGAGTTTTAAGTGATACATATTATAAGTAGCACTCTTTAATCTAGATTTACCAACATTCTTCATATTAATTCTTAGTGATAGCTTTTTCAAAATTAAACTTTTCATTTTGAGATATTCTAGAATCACATGTAGGTGTAAGAAATAATACAGAGAGATCTTGTGTACCCTTTACCCAATTTCTCCCAATAGTAATATTTTGCAAGAATATAGTAAAATATCACAACTAGGATTTTGACATTGATGCAATCCACAGATCTATTCAGATGTCCCCAGCTTTACTTGTAGTCGTTTGTTTGTGTGTATGTGTATTTAGTTCTCTGCGCTTTTGTGACACGCTTAGGTTCAAGTATTCACCACTACAGTCATGATACAGAACTGTTCTACCACTTCCAGGAACCCTCTTGTTGCCTTTTTATAACCACGCCCACCTCCTTCATGTCATTTCTTCCCTGGCTTCATCCCTAACCCATCCAAGTACTAATGTGTTTTCTCTCTTGATAATTTTGTCATTGCAAGAATGTTATATTAATGGACTCATATGGTATTTAACCTTTTGGGATTGCCTTTTTTTCACTCAGCATAATTCCTTGGAGGTTCATCCAAGTTTCTGCATGTATCAGTAGTTCCTTCCTTTTTATTGTTGAGTACTATTCCATGGTGTGTCTGTACCACAAGTTGTTTATCTTTTCACCCATTGAACGACATCTGGGTTGTTTCCAGTTTTTGGCTGTTAGGAGTAAAGCTTCTATAAACACTTGTGTACAAGTTTTTGTGTGAACATAAGTTTTCATTTCTCTATGGTAAATGCCCAGGAGTGCAATTGCTGGGTGTTATGGTAATTGCATGTTTAGTTTTACAAGAAACTGGCAAACTGTTTCCAGAATGACTGTACCATTTTACATTCCCACCAGCAGTGTATAAGTGATTCAGTTTCTCTGCATCCTCACCAGCATTTGGTGTTTTCACTGTTTTTTTATTTTAGCCATTCTAATAGGTGTATAGTAATGCTTCATTGTAGGTTTAGTATTCACTTGCCTTTGGATAATGATGTACAACATCTTTCCATGTGCTAATTTGCCATCAGTGTGTTATTTTCTCTGAAATATCTGTTCTATCTTCTTATAGTAATGTTTATGTTTTTATCGCTGAGTTTTTGTTTTTTTTTTTGTGAGGAAGATCAGCCCTGAGCTGAGATCCATGCTAATCCTCCTCTTTTTGCTGAGGAAGACCAGCTCTGAGCTAACATCTATTGCCAATCCTCCTCCTTTTTTTTTTCCCCAAAGCCCCAGT